AATTTGGTTATGTGGCTAGTGATGGTGGATGCATAGCACAAAAAACTGAAGACCTTTAAGTCTTGTAAGTCAGGAGGTTTGTCATAGAGTTTTTGGTATGGTGTGAGGTTGTTTAAGACAGGGGTGGGAACTCGGTCAATGAGATACACAGCATGCTTGACACAATCTCCCCAGAAACCAATGGGAAAATTGGCCTGGAATTTTAAAGCTCTAGCAATGGCTAAAATGTGTTGGTGTTTTCGTTCAACCTTGCTATTTTGTTGTGGGGTCTCAATGCATGACATTTCTTGAAAAATTCCATGTTCTGCAAAGTAATCATTCATTTGGAATTCTCTCCCTTGATCAATCCTAATTGTTTTGACATTTGTGTTGAATTGTCTGGTTATCATGTTGCAGAATTGAATGAGTTTGCGACGAGCATCAGCTTTGGAAGAAAGAAGGATGAGCCAAGTCATTCTGGAATAGTCATCAATGATGGTAAGGAAATAATTAAAACCATCATAAGGAGGAAAGGAATTGGGACCCCAAATATCAACATGAATTAACTGAAAACATTATGCTGTGACAGTTGAACTAGAAGGGAAAGGAAGCCGTTTTTGCTTGGCAAAATGGCAAACATCACAAGGTAAGTTACTGTTGGTTTCAATGTATTTACAAAGTTGTTTCAGTTGAGGTATGCGATTGTGGGAAACATGGTCAAGTCTGAAATGCCAAATGCCAAAATGTGGTGAACTAACAGCTGATGTGATGTGGTTAGGTATATTAGCTAAGGGTAGGTTGATGTGGTAAAGGCCATGGAGGAGCTTAGAAAAACTAGTCACTTTCTTCAGCTTCATTTCATGTATGATGCAAGAATCAGAAGAGAAGGTTAAGCAAAGAGGGCTAGTGGTGGTGAGTTTACTCACTGAGAGAAGGTTGAATGTGAATTTAGGGACAAACAGGACATCTTCAAGGGTAATGTCATTAAGACAAAGGACTGTGCCTTTGTATGTGGCTTGAACTCGATCACCAGTTGGTAGGTTAATGAATATGTGATCCACTTTGTGAGGATCATGAAGAAAGGAAAGGGAACTGACTATATGGTCAGTAGCACCTGTGTCAAGGATCCATGGAATGGGAGAAGTGCTATGTTGAAGACTGTAGCAAGAATGGTTACCTGAAGAGCCAGAAGCATGATGAATGGTGAGTGCTGCAAAATGAGCATTGGAAGGAGACTTGTCTTTGGAGTGATCATGCATCAGAGAAATCAGTTTGTCATACTCAGATTTTGTGAGTTTGAACTCTTGGTGAGTGTCTGAAGAAGAACCACTGTCAGTTGCATTGATGAAGGATCTGCCTCGAGTAGAAGGTGTGGTTCTAGACTGAGAACTGGGTGGATAACCATGCTTCTTGAAGCCTTTGTCTTCAATGTGTCCAATACTTCTGCAGAAAGTGCATTATGGAGGTTTGGCAGAGGGATTGGGTGTCATAGTTAAACCTCTAGGAGTGAGACCTGGGGGCCAGCCATATTTATGATAACATGTGTCCTCCGTGTGGCCAGGGGCATTGCAAAATATGCAACGAGGTCTTTTACCAGGGATGTAAGGACGTTTAGTGCCTTCAACAGCAAAGGTATTGGAGTATGAGTTAACCATTCTGCCTTGTTGGTTACCTTGCTTAATAGTGCCAATAGATTCAATTAACTCTGCAACTCGAATCATATCACCTTGACCATAGCGGGATTTGAGGCTGAGCCAGGCTTCGGAGGCGAGTTTGCAGGACATGATTGTTTTCTTCATGCCAGGTTCCACAGCTTGTTGAATCCAGCTGAGTACCATGACGTTGTTTCTTGTCCAGGAAGAGAACTGAGCATCTGTAGTTGCAGGGGGCAACAATGGTGTCATTGATGAAGCCAAGTTTGTTCTTGGCGGCTAAGGCGTTGAGCATCGCCTTGCTCCAGTCGTTGTTGTTGGTGGTGGTCAGCTTCTCACCTACCAACAGCAACCCTGGTTGATCTGAGCCATGAAGGTAAGAAGGATCCTCCAGGAGATCCTGGTTTTGTGTTTGAGCTGCCATTGGGGAGGCGGCGGCTAGGATTGCTCTGATACCATAACACTAGATGTGCAAATGAAACCCTAACTTAGTTTTCTCATTGATGATTGTTTTGCTTATATACAGGGTTGGATCAGTAGAAGACAAACAGCTCTTAGTTGTTGTTTATAGACAGAAAAACAGAGAGTGCAGAGTTTGGAGGGAACAGCAACTGAAGAATGAAAGAGACGTTGGGACGCTACGGCGACGTATTGTCAAAGAGAGTCTCCACTGTACAAGACAGCGCAGTTGCACTTGTGGAAACTGAAGCTTTGCTCGAGACGACGTCGCACCATCAGATTGGCTTACTAGCCGTTGCAATTTGGGGCGAAAATTATGTATTTTCGTCTGATAATAACCACAAAAACACGCCAATATACTCATCAAGGGCAAAAGAAAGCGCAAAAAAAAAAAAAAGAACTGTTCAAATTAGAGAGAGATCGATCCAACTTACGTTCTAGTGAAAGTAGCCATGTATCTCCACCAAGTAGCAGAAGTCGCGTCATTCCTACTGATAGAATCGAAAATAGAAGAGTGAGTAATGGCTGATCCCCGACAGCCTTGGGTAGAACCCGGGAGCAAGCGCCTGCGAATGGAAGCCATTGTGGCAGAATTTCAAGTTTGAATGATGGATACTCGATGGGGGTACGGGAGGCCGGGGAGAAGGTTAGGGTGTCAAGAGAATTAGTGCGTTGGGCTTGGGGGTTTACGTATTAGGTTGCATGGGTTTGGGTCATTAAGGTGGATCATTAGTCGATTAAGTACAAGGTTGTCAACCCGCGTGTTGACCCGGACCTGATCAAGCTAGTGGGTTAAGGATTAACGGGTCACCCATTTTAGCCCGGAAATATGGAAAGAGTCATTATATTGTACTTATCCTAATAAATTATATCAAATCTCATCTAACATATGAGTAATAACATATAACATTACACCAAAGTAAACATGTCGTACTTAGATCCAACATATAGTGAAAATTCACACACACTTGTATAACATCAATATTCAAATGTTCAACTAAGGATTCCAAAGATTGAGTTAGGCGAAAAGAAAAATCGGAAAATGGCCGCATTTCGCAAACCAAAGAAAAAAATGACACAATTTGACCTCCAACCCGATACCTTGTAACGGTCGACCCAGCGGGTGCGTGCGGCCCGTTTTTCTCACCGGGTCAGCATCAAAGTGGGTCGACCCGTGGGTTGACAACCTTGATTAAGTATCATAGGTAGGGCTGCAAATGAGCCAAGCCGCTCGCGAGCAACTCGGCGTCGATCGGAAAAAACTCGTTCGACACTCGACTCGTTATTTAACAAGCCGGCTCGCGAGCCAACTCGTTAGTAAACGAGCCAAACTTGAGCCATACCATGCTCAGCTTGATAAGTTCGCGAGCTAGCTTGGTTCGGTGCTTTTTGAGCTAAGCTCGCGAGCTGTATTGTTTAGAGCATGTGTAAGGATGGATTATTCTTATGAACATGAACATTATTTTGTTAATACGGATGTGTATGGAAGGTAGATGTTATTTTTAGTTTCAAGTGTTCTTTTTATCATTTTAATTCTTATGTTTATACATTTTTCAGCAAAAATGATTTCAAATCGAGCTCATCTTGAGCCGAGCTTATACTCAGCTTGACAAGCTATGAGCATTTAGCGAGCTCTACCGAGTCGAGCTCGAGTTAGATTATTTTTATTCAAGCCGAGCTCAAGCTGGACTATCAAAATTCGAGTTCGAGCTCGAGCTAAAAATTTTATAAACGAGTCGAGCTCAAACTAAGCAAAAATTCGACTCGACTCGGCTCGGCTCGTTTGCAGCCCTGATTATTCCCCTCCTCTCTTTCTTGTTCTAATTAATTCATAGGTTAGTAGGGTTGTCTTTTGGGATGCCGAGTTCGGCTAGGTAAGGGGTAAGAGGAGGTTCGGCCATAGTAGGATAGTTGAGAGGGTTTGCGCCAGTGGCGGACCCAGGGAGGTTTAGGGGTGTCCCCGGACACCCCTAAATTTTGGGAAAACAATTATCCAACCCCCGACAGTAATTTACGTATGGATAAAAAAAATATAATTGATAGTGAGAGACACCCCTTAAATTTGAAAAAATGATTATCCTTCTGTCATTTGTGTATAGGAATATAAGTGATAGGTTGGATAGTTCAAATCTAGAACACTATTATTATTAATAAACTTAATTTCCGTTGAGCTAAACTCATTTGTTGTTTGATTTTGAACAATGTGAGTAAAATGGCATTCCCTATCTCTAATTATTTTTAAAATCTAACAATTAAACTAATTTCAAACTACCCTTAATTTTTATTGATTTTATGATTGTATGACAAGTGTTGAAAGAGTCTTTCAGCTTTGGGTTACATCCATGGTCCATGAAACCGTACCGCAAATCGTACCGAGAAAGTCGGCGGTAGGATATTTTATGATAAAATCGTGGTTTAACCGTAGTTCAACCGTTATACCGGTAAATACCGCATATCGGTTTAGCCTCCGATACTGGTATCTCGTGGTTGAACCGCCGGTACGGTACGGTTTCATGGACACTGGTTACATCAAGAACAAGTTTACAAATCGAATATGCGATAAGTTCGTGAATGATTGTCTAGTAGTGTATATAGAGACAATTTTTTAACACTATAGACACCAAGTGTATTCTACAATTATTTCCGAATATAAAAACATATCATGGACTTTTTCAACCTATACGAGTAATGTATTTTTCATATTTACAATTTTATTTTTATTAATTATTTTTATTTTTATTTAATTTATTTTTTAAAAAAGGACACCCCTATGAAAATTTTCTGGGTCTGCCACTGGTTTGCGCATATGTGCTTGAATCTCATTAAGTTCCACATTTCACATACTCATTCTTCTGGAAAACAACTCTGTCTCAAAAACTCATTTTGTTTGTGAAACAAACATATTTTGTTCTTGTGGGTTGTAAATGTAATATCCTTATTTGGTGTCTTTAGGAGTATCCAACAAATATGTGTTTGTCATGTAGATGTCACACCCCCAATCTTGGTAAAATACAAGCAGTGACGCTTCCCCTCAATTTACGCGGAAATTCTATGCAGCCGCCTACTTACCAGCTACCAGACACTTTGCTTACAGCGATACATTACTTTGATTCCTATAATAATCAACCAGCCGACACTTACCGCATCTCAATAAGCGAAGGAATTACAGCATCCAGCATCGGAAACAGACTTTGGATGACAGCAAAAGGGCACTGAATTTTATTTTACTAGATAGTAGTAACATTTGCTCGACCTATTAACATGTGTAGTACCTGGAAAAAACACTTCTCAGGTTGCAAGCATACGTGACTTAGAACATAGAAGGATAAGGGTGCAAGTGCATCAAATAAGAACTGCCAGTACCCTCTATTCGGAGAAGGTTTTGAAAATTGCTGCAACATCAAGTTCCCATGGCAACTGTGAAAGACAGAAGAATTTAATTCAGAAGCTCGTCAGAAGTTCAGAATCCACAGTTTGTGAACAGGTCAGTAATAAAAGACCACCGTAGACAAATGAAAGGCAAAGTGATTGCAACCCACTAACCATCTTTGCTTGAACTGTTTTCAATGTCGATTTGCGACTGCCACGGCTCCTTGAATTCGGGCGATTCACATTCCTGTGCCATGCTGTTCCCTTCTGACGACGAACAGTACTGGGGAACTGAAAAGGAGCATCTGCTTGTTGTTGCCTGTTTCTTAGCCGCTGATGATTCAGCAGTCGAGCACAGATCACCATCTGGTCTTGAAGTCCCTGCGACGTTATAACAATCTCGGAACTTATCTGGTCCTGGGGTTCCCTCCTCCATGCATTTGGCCCTCTTCTTCCCGTGTGGATCCTTCTGCTTCATGTTATAAAACGATGGAACCTTCTGATCGTTAGACGATGCAGTAAGGCAAGGAGCCTTGCCTTTCTCCCTCAACACAACCTTTGGAATCCCATCCGTAATGCCTGTGTTATCACCAATGACTTCATTTGTCCCATTTGAGCATGAAGCTCTGGCAGCTGCCTCGTCTTCCCACATCTTGAATATGGCTGAAGTGAGAAGCTCTCTAGCCATGTCCAGATCCACTATAGGCATTGGATAGTTTAGTCCCAGTTCGACCCCAGCGGATTTGAGCACAATATCAGGTGCATCCCATGGGTGATGAATCCACTCGGTTGGCATTCTAGCTAATTCGGGCAGCCAGTGTCTCACGTATTCTCCTTCTGGGTCAAATTTGGAACCTTGTATCTGTTTCATAATAAAGCATATCACAGTTCAGTTATATTTATCTCTCTTTCCAATCAAGTATCTAGAAAATCACATTCACATTACATTTAGAACCAATTCCTTAATTCGTTTAGAATAAATCAAACTTTGGAAATGATTTCTGGTTGTGTTTAGAATGAGGTGGAAATGAATTCTAAAAAAACAATTCTCCAATACCGCTCTTATAGCCTATTTATGAGTATAAACGCATGAGAAAAGTGAGTTTTCTTGTAAAGTTTGACAGGTAGTGTCACCAGTTTCATTTGCCACACCAATCCAACCAATTTTGATGGGATCTCAAATTCCTAAATAAATAGTAAAAGGTTTGGCCTCTTCGAGTTCGATTTCTCGCACTATCTATCATAGCAAACAAGAGAATCTCTTAAAGTTTGAGAAACGGAATTCTATTTCCCAAGTTTTTGTTTGTTCCAAGTAGGCTGTTGACAAATAACCTAGAATAGCAATCACAATTATCCAGGACTTGAGAAGAGACAGAACACACACAACCATGATTTGAAACTGAAGGTAATGTTAATTCTTAAGCTATGGGCAAGTACCACCAAAGTCATCACCTTAACATTGGTTAATCACACAAATTCAAAGAGCCAAATAAGAAGTTTGAGTCAAATACTTTAACACATGTCAGAGGGAACTTTCATACCTCTGGACTGTCTAATCGTTCGAGTTCATGGCCATCTGGTAGGCTTCCTGATATATACTGCCAACCCAGGATGTCACATTCAAGATCTGCATCCAAAAGCGTGTCCCAGAAATACTTCATTCCCCATCTCCATGGCAAGAGCAGAACTTTGACAGAGAAGCTCGACACAATTACTCTTATTCTGTTATGCATCCAACCAGTTGCCCATAGCTCCCTCATCCCGGCATCAACGAGAGGGTAACCGGTTCTTCCTTGTCTCCAAGACTTGAAATGGGCTTGGTTGGCATTCCAAGGGAAGTACTTCAAGTGCCCTAGCAGCGATCTCTCGTGGGTGAATGGAAAATTGAAACAAAGATAACGCGAGTATTCCCTTAGCCCAATCGACCTAAGAAACCAGTTCACACTGTCTTTCCCTTTTTTGTTTTCTTCTTTCTCCCACACTAGCTGCTTCATTCGAACACATTGGAAAACCTTCCTAACGCTCAGCTCCCCAAAATGGAGATAAGGGGACAAGAGAGAAGTGGAATCCACTCCAACCTTAAGCCTGTTCTCCGAATAGTTAATTAAATGTCGTTCAACAAATTCTGTTAGGGATTTGTCAGCATTACCCCAACCTGGAGACCATGCTCTTCCTAACAAAGAGTTGCTTGCTTTTTCCAATTCATCTTCCAGACCAAGTTCATCCACTGAACACTTTTCAATTGAACCTGCAATATAACAAACAAAAATGAAACCAGGGGAATGAAGAACAAAATCACTTGATCAAAAGTAAACACACTGAACAACAATCTACCTGTAGCAGGCACCAGCTTCCATGGAGGTAGATGTGAGACAGGCTCCATCTGCAGATGCAAGCACTTCTCCCAATATGAATTGAACTTTGTAAAAGCATGTCCTTCATCATCATATATATCCCACGGTTCATATAACAAATCCCCATTATAGCTCTGCACGGAAATTCCAAGTTCCCCCAATTTCTCCTTGATACTATGATCACGAACCAGAGATACCGGATCTAGGCAAAGAGATGGAGAAGTAATTGATAAAGATTCATCACCAACTACAAGACATGCAAAAGAAAGCAAATGAACCAGGAGCACACACCATAGAGATGATTAAAGACCAGTCTGGTCGCTCCAACGGCATTGACACAGTCTCGAAGAGCATCGACAGCACTGTGAGTCTTGATCAGGATAAGTTCAGCACCAAGTGATTTGATCGAGTTTCCCAAGTGGGTAAGAGACTGCTTCAGCCACCACCGGGAAACCCGGCCGGGATAGAACTGCCCTTCTTCTTCAGGGCACCAAATATAAACGGGAAAGACTGGACCATCCCTTGCAGCAGCCGCTAGGGCAGGATTATCCTCTATCCTAAGGTCTCTCCTAAACCAAACTACAGTTCTACTACTACCCATTATTTCCACCTAAAAACCTTGAATCAAGATCAAATTCAATCCTAAACCACCACCATAGCTAAAGTTTCAAAGGACTAAAACTCGATCAAATTAAAAAAACTTCAAAGAATAATCTAGAGCAACACTCTGAACTGAGAAATCAACAGTCTACGCAGTCCAGCTGCAGCTAATAAGTTTCAGCTAGCTAGCCCCAGAACAAAATCCAGAGCTTAGCTACGAAGAAACCCAAAAGCGGTTCAAATGATCATCCAACCCCAAACTCGGCACCAAGCTACCAGAAGACAGATCTGAGACAGGATAATCATAATAATAACAATAAGACAAACATCAAGTTGAAATAAAGAACGTTATCCAGAGAGACAGATAGGAAGAGCGTAACAAAACAACAAAAAAATAAACAGCCATCAACACAGATAATATCAAATAAAATAAAAGAGGAATTTACCAGAATTCAGAGACAAGGAAAGTGATCCCGCAGCTGAGCCCGTATCTTGATTGAGGTTGATAGCACCTACCCAGTTCGGTTTCGACCTTCCCAGAACATAAAGACTGGAACTTTTTTTCTTCCCCTTCTTCCTTCTTGAGTTATTTTTGCAACAGCGTTAGGTGACATTTGATCGACGACTTTGGGACGGAGGCTGGCATATGATAAGAGAGTCACATGGGACGGGATATTCGTTGCATTTACTCGTCTTTTGCGCTAGTGGACGGATGTTGGACTAATGGGGATGGGCATCACTTGTACCCATATCTCTCTGTCCATCGTGGCTCCACCGGTTAGAAAAGGAGAGTGCGTGAGATTGCAGGACAGATGGTCTTTGGATTTACGTGAACGGAAAAAGGACAGCAGGACCAGATAGGAGGAGTAAGTCTCTGCATTTTGCAGTTTAATAGATGTTGATAACGTTGCCTTGTTGAGTGGAGAATATACATAACCTATGAAAGGAATTTTGGCTTCGGTTTTCCCTTTTTAAATACGGATGAAGTACAACCAACCTCCATTAACGTTTTGCTCATTTTTTAGGTAAGGACATGTTAGTGGATTTGATCACTAGGTTTCAACTTTTTTGGTCCTCCATAAGACGATAACTAACGTTGAAGTACATATCAGTCCATATGCGATACTCTCTTGATGGCGTCGTTGTTTGTTTGTTATATAGTCTTCGAACTCATATTTGGGTTGTTTACCGGACAAGTTAGTAGCATGGAATTTTGATGATACAAATGTGGATATTATTGTGTGAATAAAAATTAAAAAAGAAACCATGCATTCAATAGACTTCATGTCAAAATAATAACATTCACTATTTCACTACATCATGCTTTACAAGTCTAACTGCGTAAGTATATAAGACCGTCACGATTTTTTTTTTTTTTTGTATTATTTGTGTACAATACATAATTACATATATAGGTAGTTTATGTCGTTATACCTGTATATTATTATTATTATTGTTTTGAAGGACATACCTGTATTTTTTGGTAGAATACCTGTATATTATTGGTTGCTAGTTTAGCAGCATAAAACCGGCTGCTACAAACTTTTTAGACATACGGACCTAGTCGGACAGTAACCATTTTTTACTGTCCAACCAGCCAGTAGGGTAAAGTAAATTATCCATTATCCATATTTTGTTATTTTCAGTGTTCATGAAACCGTACCGTATCGGCGGTTCAACCACGAAATACCAGCATCGGATGCCAAATCGGTAGGCGGTATTTACCGGTATAACGGTTGAATTACGGTTAAGCCACGATTTTACCATAAAATACCGTACCGCTGACTTTTCCGATACAGTCTCCGGTACGGTTTCGTGGACCATGGTTATTTTTAGTGTTGTCCTTCATAGCTGGCGAGCTTATAGAGAATTGTAAGATAAACTGGTAGGAACCAAGTACAAACGACAAAGCTAATACACCTGAGTGAAGAAAGAAGATAGTTAGTCCAAATAGGGGCCAAGTTAGAGGAAGGTGGACGCACCTGTTGGCTTTTGGTGATAACAAAAGTTCGTTTTGTAGGGGGCAAAAGGCACTACGCAAAATATTAGGGGCTGAAATGGTAAAAATAATACATGGAGAACGATGATGATGTGAAGGGTACAGATTTCTAAATAGTCCCTTTTATTTAAGAACATAACCGTTTCAATAATGCTACCCTGTCTTTCCCTCCGGAAAGATATGACACCAACCTGCACAGAGCAAATTATGGCGATATCTTCTACAAAAGACCAAACAACAAACCGATTACCATCATTGGCCTATCCAGATTAAACCAAACCAACCTAACCTGACGGCAGGGAGAAGACACGAATAAGGAAATACAATACCTGTTACCACATTACAACCAAACATAAGCTTGATCCTGATAACAGCCTTTTCCAGGCGGTTCAATTATTTTAATACAATCAAGCTGCACTTGCTCTGTGTATACTTTGTCGCAGAACAAATCAGGTATACAAGTAACGATGATCTTGTAGGTGTTTCACACAAGAAAAACACAATGGTGGGTTTTGCTAAGATTACTGATTCGATATGCTGTTGACCGGTGGAGACTGTTCTCAGTTTGCACGCTCTTTTAGCACCTCCAGATCTATCTCAGTCGGGTCGGTGGCCTGGATTTCATAATGGATGCCTTCAAGCTCCCTTCTGAAGCTGTCTTTCGATGTTGCGTATAGCATCTTGGCACGGATGCGAGAAACGGAAGGGGACCTGAAAAGGACATTGTTATGGGAAATTTAAAACACAAGAAGAGGGTATAACATTAGCATTAAAATGAAAAGGCACAAGTCAAGGAGTGTGCATGGTCCAGTACTCTGGTACCGTCCAGAATCAGATTGGACCGAAATAAAGCGAAATTGAGGATCAAGGTCAGATTGGAAAGTGCATTCACTCCACTCCGGTCACACGTCGGTCCATGTTTTCCTTTGTTTATAATAGGATCCATGGAATAGAAATCAAAGTATACAATCCCGATCCAATTCAATCTACAAAGTTGAATCAGTCCATTGTGAACCATAGCATGTACACCTCTATGACCAATCCAAGGCTGCTCAGTACATTTCGTCCGTCTGAGGAGTTAAAGAACAGATGAATACCCAGTGTTTTGTACCGAATAGGTATAGAGCATTTTGCATTGCAAAACAATGCAGAGTAGCAGATGAAGAATACCTAAAACAAATCTCCTTGAATAATGATGCCAGAACTTCTAGGAATTGCTTGAAACATTTTAGCGAGATGGGACACCAAGTAGCGCATCAAACCCATCTCATGCCACATTTCAACAGTTTTAAAGTTCAGACAGTATAAAAAATCAATTCCATATGCAGGAAATGATTCAGAAACAAACCCAAGCATCCACCAAAGCTCAGAAACCATAACTCATGACACGAAACTGGCAACAACAGGCATAAAGGGGGGGGGGCGAGGAAAAAGGCAGGAGTACGACTGACCAAGCAAAGAAGAAGATCTTGCTCTTCTGGCAATTGTCATCAGTCACGAAATCATAATCATAGACCGCGTATCGGCAGTCATTCTCAGGCAAGGAAGCACTGAAATCATCATAGCTCTCAGCTGGGCCTCCCGTCTTCTCAACCACCACCTGTTTCTTCTTCTCGTCGATCTTGAAGATCACGTAGCGATGAACCTTCTTCCTCTGCAGCTCGAGGAATGTGGTCTTGCTGTGGTCTGCGACGCCCATCCCTGATGTTGCATTCGGCTGACCAAAATGAAAACCTAATTGTTATTCGCCCACACACACACACATGCAATTGCCTCCCAACAAAAACAACGACCACAATTCACAACAATCGCATCACTGAATCGCACTTCACAGTTTGCAAAGCGAATATGAAAATCTATTGACGGCACAGCTTCATCATCATCGTGAATCTCACTTCGATTCGAAGAGGTCTTCAGGGTTGCACAAATTGGGGATTCCAAGCTTGCGAACAAAGAGAAACAAAGCTAAAAATTCCGAACCACAGTACATTCTGTTCATTCTCCTGCTAGTTCCGCCAGGATTCCAACCAAACAGAAAACGTTTCACGAAAGCAAAGACCAAATTGAACTTTTCCTCTTCCTGCAATCAGCCAAAACTAAAAGGAAACTGCAAAAACCTAATTCAATCCGAGAGGAGACGCGTCTGCCGGCGTACACCTTTTATCGTGTCAACAGTACCATAAGACCAGCACGCCAGTTACAGCATCCATTGGGACTTGTGAGGGATACGAAGGACGAGAGATTTACTCACAAAGAATCTATTTCGTACCACAAAAACTCAGAACGGAATCCGATCGCCGGAGCATAGGAGTAGCAGTAAACGGAGAAAAGCTTACCCCTCTGAAAGCCATGGCTGTCGCGTCACGAACTAGCTGGAGCCTGGAGGAGAGTAGGAGAGGTACGAGATCGTGGAAGTGCCGAGAGAAGCCGCTGGCGAAGATCGGAAAGAGAGGAGAGAACTAGCAGAAGAAGGAAACGTCTATCGGAACAAAATTTGAATTCTGAAAAAGGGGAACAAGAAAAGGAGAGGAAGAAAGCTGTGATTTGTGGAGAGGGACGGTGGGATTCGGTGGTGTTTGGGTATTCGTATTGCTTTGTGGCTGTGGGGTGTGGCCGTGTGGGGAAAGAAAAGAAAAGAAAAGGAGAAAGGGAGGGAATAGGGAAGACGGGGAGAAGCCGAAAGAAAGAAGGAGAAAGCAAAAGATCGTTAGTTCGTTACGAAAGGAAAGTCGGGTCTCTGGGAGCGGTCGCGTCTGATTTCTTCTTTCTCCCGTTTCTTGATGGCCGTTACGTGGTTAGGGTGAGGGCGGGCACATCTGGAGAATTTGAAATCATTTTAGCGTACGATGGCAGCAAGCGGTGGTGGCCGTTGGATTGGATGAACGGAAGTGCTGTGAGGTTGGGGATATTATCTTATCTGACTCCACGTAGGCACACCGATGGTCAATCGGGCCACATATATGAGGAATTAACATGCATATCCAAATCTCCATACCTCCGGTAAAAGCATGAACAAAATGTTTGAATGGTGCGATCCTCAATTCTAAGCTCGAGTCAATATAAATATTTCATATTTTATGATTTTTTTATTTTAATGGGTTGATTACAATTAATGTGAATTTGTAGAAAGAGAAACATATTCATCGTTATAGAAAATATAGGGGAACATGTATGTGACACTAATTATTAATTCCGCGTCTACTGTCTCATCAGTCACCACAAGTATTATGAAGCATACCACAAAGCACATACTAGAAATACAACAACCCACAGCACAAATAACATAAAGCATACTTGAACCTCACCCCATCAGAAATAAAACATTCCAAAAATCTCATAAAACATACCGCAAGTTTCCTTAAGCATACAAAAAATCTCATAAACATACCACAAATTACATGAAATAGTCCAGAAATCTCATAAAGTAGACCACATCTTCAATGAAGCATATAAAAAAAAACTTTTCAAAGCATACCACAAATTTCCTGAAGCAGATCAAAAGCCTCATAAAAGCAACCACAAGTTTATTGACATAGATGAAATCTCATAAAGCAGACCGTGAGTTCTCTGAAGCAGACAAAAAATATGTGCAACCACCAAAACTCTCGTGAATTAGAACAGTAAGACGAGAACCACACCAAAAAGCTCACAAATCAAACGCAAAATATGATAAGAGGATGACAAGTAATAAAAAATTATAGAATATTTTTTCACAAGTAAGCTGCTAAATTTTTTTGTACACGGGAGGACGTAGAGGGCGGAAGATGGGATGCCTTGATCATAATTTCTACATTTTCTCAGTAGTTAAATACTATAAAAAAGAGTACTTTTGTCATGATTATCAGTCAAGAATTAATTAAAGAATAGTTTAACATATCTCTTCTCGATAAATTGATCGGCCACTTCTTGCTCTTCTTACTCAAATCTTTGTGCGATCTCTCGCTATTTTTGTTTCTAATCGCGTCCTAATACGATAATCTTGGATGCCAATATACGTGCACTCATCAAATTATTGCTTAAATGGAGCTTGCAAAGCCTTTTCAGGGGGGAAGCCAAAAAAAAAGGGAAGAACACCAATGGGACCTAGAGATGCAAAGGAACTCAGACCATTACGTGAAGCAGAATTCGATGAGGAAAACCTCCTGGTATTGAGCAGTCATCTGAGAACATTCTCGGTTCAAATCCAAAGTACAGATCAACTATCTATGTCTAGTGGTATTGAGTTCTTGTGCTGTGATTGTATTGGTTTACATAGCCTGCGTCCCTTTTTCGTGGATGGATGATGAATCATATATGGTATCGTCAACCAAATACCTCTTGATTGGATTGTAATGAAAATATGGATCTAGTTTTGATCAAGTTCGATCCTTAAGAGAAGGCCATATTAGAGGAATAAATCGAAAAGAAAGCAAGTCGAAATTGCAATGAAGACACTCTTACAAAAGTACTTCTAATACTTCATGCAGTAGTACAATGCATGCTCTTAACAGAACAACAATGTTTCAAACTTGGATTACCACTACTAATCTGATAGGCAACTAACAGCAAGGCAAGAGCTTGAAACAACGATTATCCTGAACCGAACAATTCAGATTCGCATGAACAAAACACACCGACCTCGTCATCAGTTGAGTCTATCACATTGTCCACGTCGTCAGTCCCATCATCGCTGTAATCATCATCATTCGTCGCTGTCCTCAAAGTCATCAGACTCGTCAAAATCGGACTCGTTGTTGCTATCGCCATAGAACTCCTCGTCCAGAAGAAAAGTCTGAACTTTGCAAGCTCTTGATCGTCTCGGCAGTTTCAGCAGTGATAAAAGCCCTCTTTTGTCTCTCCCGAGATCCTCTTCATGCAAGTAAACGTCCACCTTCTTCAGTACAGCTCCAAACTTTAGTAAATATGCTACCATTTTCATATCGTCCTTCTGCAGTAGAAGATCTTGGATCTCGATTTCCTCGAGGCTATACAACAAGCACTTGGGGGTGCAGGCAGGTTCCGACTTCCATTTCTTTGCAAAAAAATTCCTGTTAAGCCCCTGGCCATCATGAATGAAACAAACCTCAAGCACATTCATCATAAATCCCATGTTAACAGTAGTTAAAAGTTAGGGATAAAAAGGGTACATATGGTGCTCAAATGAATACTACTCACCAAGTCAATAACAAGAGATTGTAATTTGGGGGCTGAGTTGAGCAGTGAATGCAGAAGGCCGCTTCTGCATCCATCAGATTTGATTGTCAAGTGTGTCAAATTGGGAAAGCTAGGCAGCTGGACATCACCATTGGCAGCTGCAAGAGGAGCCTGGAACACAAAAACAACAGCTCTTTAATTAAACAAAATGAAGGTAAAACAGAGGCGCAATCCGGGAGAGGAAGGGAAATGTTTGTAAAAACATTACCAGAGTCTCCCATGATAAGCACACTTCCTTCGCATTGCAGATTTGGTTGAGGAAACCAATCAAGCAACCATCTGAGATTCGGCCCTCAACCCGTGCTGAAACAAGGTATGGCATTTGACTACTGCCCAACAATTGAAACCCTAGAAAATACCTAAGATGCAGATGCTCAAGACTCGGTGCTTCAATGGCGATGGGAAAGAACTCCCTAGTATAACCAACAATCGTCAGATTCTTCAAGAATCGCAAGGAAGCAGTGAGTGTGCCTTTGTCATCCGTGTTTGAGTAGCAGGTGTCCATATGAGCAGTCTCGAGAACAGGACAGCCAGAAATGAGCCTCCTTAGTGACTCACAGTCCATAGTCTCCACATATAACAGCTCCAAGATCTTCAAACTAGGAAGAAAAACCGACCCGTCTGCTGTCACTACTATCACAACACGTTCGAGCTTCAATTGCTTTAGATTCTTCAAAGCGTAGAAGGTTGCAGGTAGGGTACGCATGCCAGAGAGATGTCTAAATCGGTCGTACCCATCAAAACTAACATCGATTTCCTCAAGCTCAGACTCCTCAGCAGCCAATTCCAGTTTTGACCAGTAATTTGGACTAACCTCTTCCTTGAAGTGCTCCAGTGAAAAATGGAAGCGGAAACGCTTTAGAGTGTTGAGGTTCTGGTGCTCGCTCAGAACCCTATCGACGAAGCGGCAGAACTCCAAGTCTCTCGTCTCTTGATTCGACTCCTTATCGCCGTTAGTGGCCAAGCGGTTGTCGAGATTGAAACTGGAAACCCTGGTCCAGCGATTCTTCCAGCGTCGGCTCAGTACGGCGGTGCCAACGGCGTGCTTGGTCTGCAGGAAAGAGAGGATGCGGGAGATTATTCGGTCCGATAGGAAACTGAGCCTGTCGCCGTCGATCCCCGGCTTTCCGACCTTCCGGTCATGACTCCTCGGGATTTTAGTAGGGTTCATAATTCAGTCTTGTAAATGGAATCAGCAATGAAACACGAACTAATAAGAAGGGAAAGAATAAATAGAGGGACGGCGGAGGGAAATGAGTGAAGAAGGCGAAACGGCGCGGGGGAAAATGAATGAATTGAAATATGGGCCTGGGCTGGAGTAGAAATAGAATCGTGGGCCGGGCAGCTTTGCAGGATATTGAGCCCACTTTACCGAGCTCCAACATTTCAAGAAGCCTAGGTACGTAGCTCTTGTTTGTTTTCGTTTTAATTTGCAGTTTGTGTTCATCCATTTATTTAATTCAACTTTCAAAGTGAGTGATATTTCCATATATTCCACAAAAAAGTTAGGGATTTTGCTACGGTGACATATGTCACCGTGATATGGACTTTTCGGTCGACCTAATCCATAATGCAGTCGACCGAATTGACTAATTCATGTATGTGAGGTTCCGAGACGCGGTCGACCTCTTACATAATATGGTCGACCGCTTTGGTGGTCTAACAGAATGAAAGGTCGACCCAAATACCTCATAGGCCGACCCTTGTGCACCTAACAGGTCGATCGCATTATAAAGAGGTCGACCGCCTTCACACCGTATCCGTATTGGATATGGATTCCAACACCAGAAAGGTTCCACAATTGGACAAGGAAACGAATTGGGTCGCCCTATTCACGTCCTAAATCTCTATAAATATGAATATAAGTCCCCTTCAACGCCACCAAGTCTGAATTAGGTTTTTTCCCCGATTTAGAGCATTTGTGAAGAAGATCGTTCGCGGTTGCTGTTGTACGTGTTGGAAGTGGTCGACCAGGTCTAAGGTGAGGTCGACCTAATGTAGCATTCACCGTCATCTTTTCTAATGTGTGATTTTCACCGTCTAATTTGATATATTGTTGCGTGCAGAATACCATTCGGTCGACCTTGACATCAACCAGGTCGACCTCACGAGACAATTCTTCGTATTTGAATTTAAGGCACAACACTTGGACTTATGTACTTGCGAGGTAACGAAGATCAACCCAATTGGTCGACCTAATGTGTTTCAAGGTCGACCGTTTCTGCTTGTTTTGGTTATTCAACCTGAATGTCGACTTTGGCTTTGTTTGTATGACTATGTTGTGCTTGAAAAGGTCGACCGTGCTAGATATTTGGTCGACCTATCCTTTTTTCGGTTTAATTTTGAACTTACTTTTTGTTGTTAATTGTTATTTTCCTACTGGATAGGTCGACCTAGGAAGAACAGAGGTCGACCTTAATGGTTGTGGTAGTCACTATTTGTCTTCCAGGTCGACCTAATAATTTGTCAGGTCGACCACGTCTTTGTTTTTTGGTCAATTGTAGAAATTTGTAGTTGAATTATGATTTGAATTTTTCTTTAAATTGTTTAGACGATGACACATGATGAGAGACTGCATCAAGATTTGGGTGAAATCATGAAATTGTTGAAAGCCACACAAGAGAAGCTGGTGGTGTGTCAAACACAAGTCAATGACTTTCAGAAGTCCATGCGTGATAGAGTGGAGCAATTGTCAGTTCGACTGACAGATATGACTGGGATGATGCATGACGGGTTTGAGAGGCTAGAAGGTGCTATCAAAGATATAAGTGCAGAACGAATGGAGAATGGCGGAAGAGATGGTACAGGAAAGAAATTTGACTTTGGTATAGAGGAGGAAGACCATGATGACTCTGAAAATTGCTACCAGAGTATAGACGATTTATTGAAAGAGCACAATTTAAAAGTATCCAAGTATATTCATATCTTATTGAAGATATTAGTATTACTATCATTAGTGCTAATTTGTTTTGTTTATATGTTTGACAGAGTGAAACAACGAATCGCAGCAAGGGTTCCTCTCCTAAGTACAATAGACCTCGATATGAAAGTGACTCCTACACCACTCCACAGAAGGATCATTTTGTAAGAAAAGGATTATTTAGTGCTGATAGCGATGAAGATGAATCTAAGAGTCCTTTCGAAAAGCACGAGGTAAGTTTACGTTACATATTCATCTATAATGTGTGTTTGTGTTCATATGTTACTTTAATTTTAACTATGATTTGTAGGTCATGAAAGTGGAGGGTCTAGAAGGATTCACCAAAAATCTTCAAAATCCAGTTGAAGACTTGTATTATATTGTTACTAAAGAGAAGGCCGGGGACACGAATTGGGACAAGTAAGACGTTTTTTTAGTACGTGTGGTCGACCGTTTAGGTCATGAGGTCGACCGTTTGTCCAATAAGGTCGACCGTGACTGTGAACAGGTCGACCTGTACATTGCAAATCACAATTGACATTTCTGTTATTTTGATTTTTGCAGTTTGACCGTTGTTGACTTTTTTTCTGAAAACGTGCAACGAAATTATTTGAGTTCGGTCATTAGCGAGAATAGCTGGGTTTGCTCATCAGTAAGTACTATACTACTACGACTTGCGTATGAATTGTGCACTATTTATGTTACGATTTACGATGATTTTGTGTTTGATTGTTGGATGGTAGGTAGTGGATTTGTGTGCAAGGGCACTAAAAATGTCTGAAAAACATGATGTGAAAGAGCAAAATGTGTGGTATTTGCCTAATATGTTTTTGGTAAGAGCCGTAATGTCAAATTATTTGTCATAACCTAGTTATTTATATTGTACCATGTCAATTCATCTCAATTAAAACATGATGCAGAAAATGGTACGCGCTAACATAAAGACCAGACAAATTCGTAACAAGTTGATGAATGATGGCGTGGTGTTTATGCCAAATGTTAGTGCATGCCAGAAGGTTAGTCAATGTCTCTATATCATTAAATTTCGAAAGTGCATTTGTTTGTATTCGCTGTTTATAACATATAGTGAGTGTTTCGTTGCTAAATATTTATGCCAGTTCTTGACGATGAAGCACGTCATTGGTTTCTGTATCTCGTCAATGTCCAGCAAAAAACTGCATTTTTGCTAGACAATCTACCTTCAACTAGTGAGGCGAATCGTATGCGTAAATCAGCACTATGCAAGAAATTGTTAAGTGTTTCCTATAATTTTCTGACTACTAAGCGTCACATATTATGCTAGAAGCTTAAAATATTCGTTATTTGTGTGTAGTTGTCCAATTTGGATGATATTTTCAAACCAGAGTGCATGAGCAATGTAGCAGTACCAAATTTTGGAGATTTCAATTTTGAAGAGCTACGGGTTCAAGGGCAAAGGAATAGTACCGAGTGTGGTGTGCACGTCATGCAGTGGATGCGCTATGGATCCAAGGATCTGGATAGAGTGGTGAGTATATCGTCAAACAAATAACTTTTTTAATTTATACTTTTTTTAGTTGTAACGAAGTCTTACATGCCATAATGCAGATAGGAGAAGAACACAAATGATCGGCTCGAAAGGAGATACTATGGTATCTGGCTACACATTTTGAAAACCGTGCACGAGAAAATCTTTTCAAGCATGTAGTAGATGAATGCATGGAACGAGGCAAAGAGAGACAGAGTTCAAACAAAAAAACAAAGAAATGAAGTCGTTAAGTTACAATGTTGCATTATTTGGACAATACATTGAATTTGTATTTGCGAGATTGTTTCATTTTGGATTTTGAATGTTTATCGTTTATTAGATTTGTTATACAATTATGGATGTGAATAAATTTACGATTTCAATCGTCTAGAACAAGTGGTCGACCACATACTCAAAGCGGGCAAACCCGTAGGCAGAGCACAGGTCGACCTCGTGACGCTTAAGGTCGACCTATGATACCGTAGCAAAGTCAAAAACCATGTGGAATAAGGATGGAATCTCGTCTGTTTGGCCTTAATAAAATACGGTCGACCATTCGTGTCAAGAGGTCGACCTGTTTCACATTTACAACCAACGGTCGACCATTTGTGTAAAGAGGTCGACCTGTTTCACATTTACCCAAGACGGTCGACCATTCGTGCAACGCGGTCGACCGTAATGATTCTTGTCCTTGTACAATTAGGATTTTGTGTACTTGTCCTTGTTGAATTATGATTTTATATATGTTTCACCAATTGGATAAGGAATTCGTCTACATTCTCTATAAATAGATGGAAGTCTTAAGACTTTATTCGTACTTCGAGTTATACAATTTGTTGGAGTGAAGTTGTAATCTCATCGCTCTTATTGTGATCGTGTGTTGGTGGCGGTTTATTTTTATTCCGGTAGACCGTAACAATAAGTGGTCGACCGTATTTGTAAGGTATGTCTCGTATGTTCTTGTTAATGGTTGTATGTGGTTAAATTTTTCCCTAATTAGGTCGACCACCTCCACCATCCGGTCGACCGTATTTGTGTAATTATATGATTAGGTCGACCTTACAGTAAATTCGGGTCGACCTCTTCTTTGTTATTTTAAAATAAGGTCGACCTTACAGTAAATTCAGGTCGACCTCATCTTTTTTATTTAGTAATAAGGTCGACCGTACAGTTCATTCAGGTCGAC